GCGTTCTCAGCGTCCCAAACTGCATTTCCATAAGAACACATCTCCTCCTCTAACCTCCTTCCTCAGAGAAAGAGGCAGAAATGGACCACCTCCCCAGGCCCGCACTGGACAATACACTGCTTTCTCTCGCCTCCACGGCTTAACCTGCACCCAAATTCAGCCTCAACAGGGCTGGCTCCTTGCCTCCCAGTGCCAAGGCCCTGCTCCTCTGCCTTCAGAATCAGCGAGGGGCAGCGAGTGAGCGCTGTGTGCCAGGCACAGGCCAGGTTCTGACACGGGGTCTCGGCTCGCCCTCACAGAGCCCCATGGAGCCCCCTTTTCCTCCTTACCACAGGAGGAGCAGGCTCAGGGATTTAAGAGACTCGCCAAGTCAAACAGTTACATTTAAGTGACAACACCGTGGACGGCTGAAGTAGAATAAACTAAACTGGACCCTGAACGGGGAGACCTCCAGGCGTCCGGCAGTTAGGGTCCCTGGGGCTCTCCCCAGGACGGTGAGCAGGAGTGTGCCAAGAAAATGAGACGGGAGGGGGCGCAAAAGCCAGCTGGACGCCTGGGCGCTGCTGGAGGACAGACATTCCGAGCCCACAGAGCACTGGGGAGGGGCTAGGGTGGCCCCACCTGGGAGGAAAGCACCTCTTTCGGGGCAGCTCTGTGGACCCAGAACTGGGCACAGGAGGTCACTCTATTGAGCCCTGAAGAGCTTTGTGGGGTGTCAGGAGCTAGAGGAGCCAGAGAAGGTCAGTCAGGTGAGCAAACCCGGCACCAGGCCCCCTGCTCAGAGCCAGCTCACTCGCGCGCCCAGAGCCGCTGCTGGGCCCATGTTTTGCCCTATGACAGCCCTAACTGAAGCGTCTCCTCACGGGAGCTAAAAATAGCTACCTTAACGCCAATGAGTCCCGACAGCCACAACCACCTCTGTCCACAGCAAGGCCCAGGGAGTTGCCATAGAAACTGGAGGGCACAAGTGGACCTGGCTACTTCAAGGTCTCAGGGGACTGGGGCAACCCCAGGGCACAGCCCTTGAGAGCACTGGGGCTATGGGCGGGCACACAGCTTCACCGAAGCCGCTAGTGAGCCGTCCCCTCAAAGGCCAGGAGAGCTGACGGGCACCCTGCAGAGACAAGAACCCGGGTCTGGCAGAGGGACAGGCCCGCATGCAGCAGTGGCCCCGACCCAGGTGGAGGCCTCTGGGCTGCGGTCCCTCCGCGACAAACTGGGGAGGACAGCCCTGCACCCGGGCCCTGCCCAGGGACCATGGATGTGCTGTCTGGTGCCCAGCCCACCTGCGCCCAGTACTCAGGCCGCTCCCTCTGCCTCGCAGACGTGCACATGGACGTGCAGGGAGAGTGCGGAGAGTGAGGCCAGCGGCCCCGCATGGGGCCACCCAGAGTGGAGGCTCGTCCAGCGGACTTGCTATCCAAGAGGACTTGGAGGAGCAGAGCACCCGCGGACACTCTGCAGCTCGTTCTGCTCCTCCCGGTGTGGACAGCCTCCCCGTCAGGTCAGCCCGGCAAGCGAGGGCCTAAATGTCAGAAAGCGGCCGATCAGAGTCCAGTCAGCTGGGAGGAGGGCTTGAGCTGAAGGACACCCCGAGTGGGGGCCGCAATCAGGCCCCTGCAGCCCTGGCTCCCCTCAGCCCACGTGGAGAATAAAGGAGCACAGTGGGCAGGGGACCCATCTCGGGGGCCAGAGCAGCCGGGCGAGGCCATCCCAGGCCCTCGGTCCCCAGGGGCCAGAGCCAAGCTGTGAGGCTTGTCCTGTCGATACCCTCACGCCTCCTCACAGCGTATGTGCGCCCGACACTGCTCAGCCTGCCTACTCACAGCCCTCTGCCTGGACGCAGGCTCCACTGAGGTGCCGCCAGCACCTGGACTCTGCCTCCCTTCCCCCACTTTGGGTCACGCCGCCTCTCCTGTGCACACAGGGGCCCTGCCACATCACAAGGCCCAGCTCAGCCTCCTCGCCTCCTCGTGAGGCCCAGGCAGCTCCCACCAGGGGCTTCAGGGCGCCTCTCCAACCAGAGTCTGCGACACTGTGTCAGGCAGCGCCCTCCCTACCATCTGTCCGTCTTGTCTTCTCCTTGGATGGCAGGCTTCCCAGGGCAGGACTGACTTTTTTGTTTGTTTAAATATGTTTTTATTGATTTCAGAGAGGAAGGAAGAGGGAGAGAGCTAGAAGCATCAATGATGAGAGAGAATCATTGATCAGCCGCCTCCTGCACGCCCCTCACTGGGGATTGAGCCCACAACCAGGCATGTACCCTGACTGGTTCATTACAAGGGTGCTTCCTGCAAAATGGGTTCTAGAGCCTAATGCCTTGCAATTTGTGCAGCGCATTGAAGAGGCAAAGGCTGTACCTGGCCCTCCTGTCACTGTGACCTGACTAAAGTGCAGGCATTTCAGTTACTAGCCTTGTATGTGTGACGTTTTTTGTTTGTTTAAATATGTTTTTATTGATTTCAGAGAGGAAGGAAGAGGGAGAGAGCTAGAAGCATCAATGATGAGAGAGAATCATTGATCAGCCGCCTCCTGCACGCCCCTCACTGGGGATTGAGCCCACAACCAGGCATGTACCCTGACTGGTTCATAGGTCGACACTCAACCACTGAGCCATGTCGGCCGGCAGGACTGACTTCTGAGTGAAGGCTGCTATCCCGGCCGCACGGGCGCAGGGATTGGGGAAACCCGCCACTCTGGGATGCTGGTGGCAGCTGTGGCCGCGCGGTGTCCCTCCCTAAGGGGCCTGCCTCCCGCCCATGTCTGCGCTGCACTGCCCGCACTGTGACAGCAGGCACGCATGACACATTCTATGAAAACATCGTTTCTGATAGCGGCACAACAGCCAATTACGCAAACGCACCACAGTTTACTAGTCACGCCCCGTCGGCGACACTGGTGCTCCCAGGGTTTCTACGAGTAACAGCGACACACTCATCCCGTGCTCAGCACTCGCCTGCAGCTCAGATGGTTCCGTGTCAGGAGAGGGTCCGGGAGGAGCGTGCTCACTGCCCCCACAGCCCCCAAGGCCTTGCTGTGCGCAGCGGGATGTGCTCGTTTTCACGGGAACCTAACATCTCACGGCATCCCCCCAACACGGAGGCGCCTCCTCTGAAGGTTCCTGAACACCTGTGGACACAGGGAGCCACACCCCTAGGGAACAAGGACAACATGGGGGGAATATCTGACTGTGACCAACGCCCTGAAGGCCCAGGTGAAGGGCCGCGTGGACACAGCCTCCCTCAACACGGGGCTGCCCTCACCCCCCCGTCTCCATGCGCAGCGGCAGACGGGGATCAGAAGGTAGCCCTGAGGCCCCCGAGGAGGAAATGATGCCTGGTGAGTTTCTATCAGTCAAACGTTTTCCAAGTACAAAGGTTCCTGAGCCCAGAAGCTTCGCCCGCCGGCCCGGGAGCCCCGCGGGCACTGGCCCGCTGAGATGTTCCCAGCGAGGTCCCCGTTAGCATTCATGACGCACGGCCTCGCCCCTGTTTTAGAGACATCCCCAAACACAAGGAGCAAACACAAACAGTGCAATGACTTCACAAAGCAGAGCCGCCCCGAGGGGAGGGCAGAGGCGCCATGTTAGGCAGGGTCTGCGTGAGCAAATGCAGAATCTGCTCGAGGAACAAGTGATTGGAAACAGAAGTTCCTGTCCACTAGCCATCGATAAACAGCCATGAGCAGGCGAGGCGACCAGTAGGATGGAGGGCTGCGCAGCACCCACCAAGCTCCACACACAGCTGCCCCCAACCCCCAGGCTGGCTGGGGATGAGCCCAGCTCCTGGGCCTGGCCAGCCCCGTCGTGCTTCCTGCACCCAATCCCAGGCTAAGGGGCGAGGTCCCCGGGAGCCTGGGTTCTGCCCCCAAAGAACAGTGTCTGTTTCCCAGGACCAAGCACACCTGGCGAGATGTGCTTTTCATAAATGTTGAATAAATAAAAGGTAGCACTGTATTCTGTACATTTCTAGTATAAAAGGATGGGCCCTGTGACACCCATCCCCAGCCCACAGCCACCACCCAACCCTTGGGTGAGACTTTCATGGAACAACCGCTCACTCCGTCTGTCAGCTGAGACGGGAATGCACATGTTGGTGTAAGATTTCCATGCCAGGCGCCTGGGTACAGGCTCAGGAAAGAGAAAAGCATCAATAAGATGCTCCATCGCAGGAAGAAGAGAAGCAGACACTCAGTGCCTTCTGATGACAGGGGAGCACAGGGGGTGTGGGGGCACGTGGGGATGTGGGGACGCAGGGACATGGGATGGGGGTGGGGAACACGGGGATGTGGGGAGAGGTACATGGGATTCGGGGATGTGGGGAGTACATGGGGACTCAGTGCCTTCTGATGACAGGGGAGCACAGGGGGTGTGGGGGCACGTGGGGATGTGGGGACGCAGGGACATGGGATGGGGGTGGGGAACACGGGGATGTGGGGAGAGGTACATGGGATGCGGGGATGTGGGGAGAGGTACATGGGGATGCGGGATGTGGGGAGAGGTACATGGGGATGCAGGATGTGGGGAGAGGTACATGGGGATGCAGGATGTGGGACACTTACCGCTGGCACTCGCCCACATGCAGGATGAGCTCCTCATTGCCGCGGGCGCTGAGGCTCAGCTCGTGCTCCGTGGAGTTGAAGACGTCCAGGAGCAGGTGGCATTGCCGGGTGCTGCAGGGAGAGATGAGGGAGGCTCAGAATCGCCTGGTGGCCGAGAGGAGAGCGGCTCTGCCTTCTCTCCCCCCAGAAGGTCCTCCCCTCCTTGAGGATGTGGGCACTGCGATTCATCAAAAATGCCCAGTGCTCCTGGGCTGAAAGATGACTGCGGCGCATTCCGAGCAAAACTGTGGACTCGGAAAAGTGGGTCTGGGGTCCTCCTCGGTCCCGGGTCACATGCTCACAACCCTGCAGTGGCCTGAACAAACCACGCGACTGTGAGAGGCAACTGGAGTCTCCTCACTCACAGGTGTGGGGACCAGAACACTTGATATGTAAGTAAGGCAGGGGGTGGGAAGGCGGGCACTCGGCCAGCGTCGTTCCATGAATGCCACATCCGCGTCACAGTCCCATCAGCCCCTGCTCCCTAGGGTGCCAGGCCCGAGCCCGGTGCGGGGTGCCGGGCCCTGGTCCTGGGGAAGAGCCCGATGCTGATGTGCGTGGCTGCTGTGGGTTCTCACACCCCTGCTCCTGCTCGGGGCGTGGAAGACACTGGGGGCTCGCTCCCCCACTGGAAGCCTCCGCTCCTTCGTCCTCTCTCCCACAGGGAGGCCGTGGGTCAAAGTCCTCGCCAGTGAGGACAGACTGCAGGGTGCTCTCCATCCAACAGAAGACAAGGCCCGAGGGGAGGAGGTGCCCGCCCTCCCTAGAGTGCCCGGGTGCGAGGAGCTCATCAACCACTCGAGGCCACGAGGAAACACCATGGGCTGCGGGAGGCGGGGGGCCAGGAGGGGCTGGGCGTGTCGTGGCCAAGCAGCTGGAGCAGCCCTCACGCCCCCGCCCTCCAGGCTCATTAGCTGCACACACAGAACAAGACCGACCACATGCTTCAGTGGCGTCGGCGCCATCGGTTAAGCTCCCATTACAGGTAAATGCCGCCTAGAACGAACACGGTCTCCCAAATGCCAAGCATCTCAGCTGCACGTGACAGGTCGCCCATGTGCCTGCTGATCTGCGCGGGGCAGCGTGCCCACGGCAGCAACAGAGGCGGAAGCCACTCTCCTTCTGGAGGAGCAAGGGGAGCAGTTTTCACAGAAAAGAGACTCAAGGAAGGAGGCCCCACCTGGTGTGACCTCCAAGCAGGCCCCGCGGGGGCATCTCCTGAGTGCGGACAGGGCTTCCTGGTGGGGAAGGGACAGAGGGGAACACCGTGAGGTCCCTCCTCCCCATAACCCAGGGCTGTGCTCCTGGGGCCTGTTCACGGGGAAGGATAGTGAGGCCCAGGCGATGACTGGGACCCAAGGCAGCACTCAAAGCCTCTAGTTTTCACAGCAGACAAACCAGGTTCCAAACCAAGCCCCACCCCCTGCTCTTTCCAGAGAAGGGACCCGAGGAGAGCGGGGCAGTAACTTCTCCGTGGGTGTGCACATACACACGTGCACGTGTGCACCCACATATACACACATACGCACACGTGCACACATATGCACATGTCATCAAAAAGGCCAGGGCATCTGGGAAATATCCATTTTTCAAATGCGCACCGGAGCCTGGCCTGCAGGGAGGGAGAGCGGCAGCGTAAGGCTCTCGCTGCCGCGCGGAAGAAGCATCCCACACCCGCCTTCAGAAGGGCAGGTTCGCAGCGGTTGCTCCTGGGCCCTTGGGTGGGGGTGTCTCCCCAGAGGTTCAGCTCTTAGGAAATATTCATTAGCTCTGACAGCTGCCTACAACAGGCCTCTTCACTCCGCTCACGGGAAAATGGGTTTCAAAAAACGATCTATCCGCCTTTGTCATAACTTCATGAAATCTTTAATCACAGCAAAATCTTTCATCAGAAGAGGGAGTTGGTGAAACATTTATCAGAGGAGGGAAATGGATGACTTTTAGAGCGGGGAGGGGAAGGTTCCAACATCTGTGTCCTCGCTCCCAGCCGCATGGACGGACATGGGCACGCGGCTTTCTGGGCCCTGTGTTTCGGCTCTCTGGGTGCCTGGACCCACCCTCTCCTGCTCTGACTGAGGACGTGCCGGTGGCCTGTGCCCTCTGTGACCCATGAATGGGTTCCCTTCCCAACCTGCAGCCGTGCCCACCTGTGTCCGGGCTCTGAGCACCTTGCCCGCCACGCCGAGACAGAGCGGACATGAACCCGCTTGCTTTCTATGTGGGCTTTTTCTCTCCCTGGGCCCGTCTTTCTGAAGTACAGGGAAGCCCCGAAAGCCTCCTGGGAGACCTAGGTCAGAGCAGGTCCTGCAGGACAGACCCACCGCCAGGCGTGGGGGAGGGCAGGGCAAAGGCCTGGGGCAGGGAAGGACCTGGGGGAGGGGGAGGCGGGGGTGGCCAAGCCCTGGGGGGAGGGGAGGAGATGTCCCAACACAGAGGGCAGAGCATGTGAAACTACCTCCACATGGTCGGCACCCACCGTTCCCTCTGCCGAGAATCAATCTTATTAACCCGCCTACACGTATAAATACCTGTGGATGCGACGCAAACGAGAAAAGCAGGGTCTCTGCCCGGCCCGCTGAGCATCATCCACGCACCAGGGGGCTGCCAGTTCGATTCCCCATCCAGGACACGTGCTGGATTGTGGGCTGGATCCCACGTAGGGGCCTTGAAGGACGCAGCTGATCAATATGTCTCTCTCACATCAAGGTTTCTCTCTCTCCTCTCCCTCCCACCCCATTCCTCCCTTACTCTCTCTCTAAAACAAATGGAAAAAGTATCCTCAGGTGAGGATTAAAAAGAAAAAACTTAAACAAACAGCTCAACAAAAGGCAACTAAGCCCCCAGTGAGCATGCTGCTCCGCACCGTTAGGGAAGCAGCAGAGAGACCCAGTGCGGACACCACGGCACTCCCACTGAAGTGGCCCCAGGAGAACACCGACAGGCCGAGTGCCAACGAAGAGAGGGTGCAGGGTCCTTTCTCTCCTGGCCCCGGGACACTGCCCTCCGAGAGCAGCGGGCGGTGTCTCCTAAAGCTAAGCCCACGCTGACCTGTGTGTAACCCTGCAAGCCCACTGGGTGCTCCACCTCGAGAAATGAAAACGCTCCTTCGCACAGTCGGGACGAACAGGCGTTTATGGCAGCTCTACTCATGGTCCCAAGAGCTGGAACAGCCCGAGGTCCTTCGGCTGTGACGGGCCTCCCAGACAGGGTGACCCTAGACAAGGGAAGCTCCACAATCACGAAGTCCAGCTACTGACACCTGCGACACGATGGATCTAAAAGCAACTTGGTGACCAGAAAGTCCCCTTCAAAAGCTGACACACAGCAGGATCCCATCTCCACCACGTCCTGGAGACGCTGGGCCTGAGAGCGAATACACAGGAGGCCGGAGGGCAGGTCCGCAGCACTGGACCAGGGTGGGGCGGGTGTGACTGTGAGGAGCACATGATGAGGTTTTGGGGTGACAGATCTGCTCTTTTCCTGATTGTGGTGGAACGTGAATCCAATGTGTGTTAGAGCTCACGACACTCCATGCTAGAAAAGTCCATTTTGCTATGTTCATTTAAAACCTTTTACAGTGACACGATTAGAAAATAAATGGCACAACAACCTTGATGAGCTCGTCCGAATGCCGGTTTGGTTGCTCAATAACTGTAATGTCTTAGGCAAGTCATTCCATTCCTCTGCGCCTCAGTTTCCCCAATGAAGACAAGGATACTGCTGCCAGGGGACTATGGGAGGCTCCCAGGGGGAAGCGTGACGGTGCTTCCCGCACCCACAGGAGGGTGTTATGTGACTGTGAGGCGGTGGCAATCAGGGCTGCTGCAGGGAGCAGTGAAGGCAAAGCACACACCCGTGCCCACAGCAACCCCTCGAACTGCCCAGGATTGCCTGAGCCACAAGCGCGCTCGAGAAATTCCCTCGCCCAGGACCGAGTCTATCCACACACCATGCGCCATGGCCAGGAAGCACGGGGCCTCTTCCTCCCGATGAGGTCCATGGGTACCTCCAGGGCCTCCCAGGGTCCGAACATCAACATCCGGTCACTCCTGGGAGCACAGACTTGGGTGACTGCCAAGCCCAAGAGGGCACCATGGCCTCATGCACCAGGGGCCAAATCCGGGTGGTCTCCTAAAAGTCTATAGCTGCCTAGTTTCCCATTCTGTCTTCTTTCCAGAACAACTCAGCAGCCCGACTCAGCACAGAGGGCTTCCTTGTGTGTGTAAGAAAGCCAGGAGCTTAATCAGTCAAAGGTGAGGGGAACAGAACCCAGGGTCTGAGTGCTCCTGGTGACGAAGCCATCGCCCACTGCACACTGAGCTGCCAAGCTCGCGAGCGTCCTCGAGCCACGAACACCCGGCCGTCCACGGAACAGGGTTGCTCAAGGCATCATGCAAGGGCCACCTGCAACCCAAGCTCTAGAGGAGACTGCACCAGACCCAGAGGCCGCCAGCAGTGAGGTCACAGAGAGGTGGGGCAAGGCCACGAGGCCCCCGGATGTACCGAGGTGAGTGACATCCTGCAGAAGGCACAGAGCGGCTGCCAGAGCTGGTGTGTGTGTGACACGCGTGACGCGTGCCTCTCTCCCTAGCACGTGGCACACCATTGCCGTGTGCATGGGCACACACACAGGAAAATGATGACACCACTTTTCAATGATCCACCTTGCATGAGGCCCTGCATTCAGCACTTAGGTACACACTTTGGCAGGGCCTGCAAGATCCATGTCATCTCCCTCCCAGACGAAGGGAAATGGTGCTGGGAGACATGTGAGTGCACAGACACAGGCACAGAGCCAACTGAAACCAGGTGCAGAGACGACCTGGTGCCTGCACAAACCCATTCTCGTTGCATCTAAAAGCGATTACACACAGAACTATAACAACTGGGGGAAGACAGACCGAGACAAATCAGCGCTGCCACGGCCTGACTCCCGCCTGCAGCCGCGCTGCCGGCCGGGGCAGATGGGAGCTTCCTAAATGGCCGGGATGAGCGCCGGGATGTGTCAAGGGGGGTGATTTCTGTAAATAATGGGACCGCTGTTGTGCCCCACGCCCCACTCGGAGGAGTGCATTTTCCTCGCAGCGTCTCTGGCCGGATCATTTATCCTAACAGCCGAGGAAAAACTGCTCCCTGGGACCGAGGAGGCTCGGCGCTCAGGCGGGGCAGGGCCCATCCATTTCAGTCTCTCCCTGACCAGATTACCGGGCAGCGGGTGTGAAGAGGGACTCTCGGAGGTAATTGACCTCCTCCATAAAAGCTGACCGAGGGCTGTGTGCGCCCCGGGAGAAGGGAGGCAAACAAGGAGGTCGCCACCGCCATCTACGCCGCGTGGCGCCGAGGAGTGAGCCCTGCCCGTTACTGTCCGATGCCACCCTCTTTCCACCAGGAGCCTCGGCGGTCACCCCTGAGGGACAGACAGGCTGAGGTGGAGGTGAGCCCAGGCACCCGCACTCCCCGGCAGAGGCCCTGGGGCAGAGGCGCAGATCAGGTGCCAAGAGGCCACAGCTCAAGTCCCCTCTCTTCTCCTCACTCATGGACAACAGAGGATGAGTTAGAGACAGGAACCGACGCAGTGCTGACATGGGTGGGGCTCTAGAGCTGAAACGGGGTGCTGGGCACCCCTGGAATCAAGTGGGCCCTGAGGAAGTAGGGTTTCCCTGCCGCCTTTCACCACTGAAACATCACCAACGAGAAGAACCGCATCAATGATCAAGGTTCAGAGCGGAGCAGGCACACACTCTCCCCGGGACCGACGACGGAGCATCCACCAAACAGGTGCGGGAGTTGTGGGCCACCTGCACCCCTTCCTTCTGAGACGTTTCTTACATTCGTCTCCTCGGTGTTTAATGTTATTCATATGCTACAAGGCCTCGGCTGCAGAGATGTATTATCAACATTTCTCCCCATGTGCAGCATGCCTTTTGATGAGCTGGGGGTGGGGGTGGGGGAGAGATTAACTGGGAACCTGGGAACTTATACGCATAAATACACAGCCCAAGGTCACAGACAATAGTGCAGTGAAGGCTGGGAGGGGTGGTTGTGGGTGGCGGGGGGTGGGGGGGTGACATCTGTAATATTTCCAACAATAAAGATACATTTCAAAAAGAGAAGCCTGAGCCGAGCCATTCCTTCTTGCCCCAGCCATCCTCCAATTTGGGGAAGACAAACAGTCTTTCCCACTAACTAAACCTGTGCATGAGAAACTGTGAGCTCCTCTCAGAGAAGAACCCCTCTCGTACCGCTGCCCACGGTGGTCTGAAGTGGACACATGGTCTGGCTTCCTTCCCCCTGAAGGAGACCAGGCCTGGGAGGAGAGAGGCCGCTGGGCAGGGAGGGCTCCCGGGCAGAACAGCCTGATGCTCCAAGTGAGAGGCTGGGCAGCCTCGGCCACACACAAGTCTCCCGGGACGTAGAGTGATGTAAAGAGAGAGGCTGCCTCCTCCGGGTGCCCCAGTGCAGGTCGGAACCCAGGCCAGGCTCGGGGCAGTGAGCGGGCCGCATCCACACAGCGCCGACCACACACGCACACACTTACACACACACGCACGCGTGCACACACACATACGGCAGTGGCAATGTCAGCATGACCGCTACAGCATGGGATGCATGCGGGGGACCTCCATGCACTCTCAACTGCCTGAGGCCCTGTCTGCTTCTTAGATGAGGCCCTGAGACCCAGGGTATCTCAGCAGCCTGGGGTGAGGGCCAGGCTGAGGGGAGGGGGCAGGGTGACTGCCCAGGTGGAACTGCACACACAGGGGCTCTGGAACAAGGGACACGCAGCAGTTACCTGGTGGCCGGCAGAGTGCTGACTCGCGTGAAGAACACTGACGGCTCCACCTCCACGCGCAGCCCCAGGGACAGGTCCCTGTAGTAGCCTTCCACGTGGCCTGGGCCTCCGGAGTACTTGAAGTTCAGGATCGCTTCCAGGGCCTGCAAACATGTAAAACATGGCGTCAGTCCTTGTGAAGTAGCTTGTTCCTGCAGGAGGTGGCTTCGCATGGGTGAGGCTGGGATGCGCGGGGTAAGGCCATCTCTCCCACGGCGCGGCCCTGGGCGGCGTCTCTCCTGTGGTCACGCTGAGAACAAGGTGAATAAGGTGTGGTCATCGGTCAGGAAACGCTGAGGGATGAACGGGGGAGTGAATGAGCTGATAGACAAATGGAGCCGGCCCTCGCCCAGTGTGCACAGTGGCTTCCTCCCTGCAGGCGCGCGGGCAAGAGAGCCAACAGCTTCCCGGCGCTGGCCCTGCACAGCCTGGCCTGGCAAGCAGCAGGCTGCCACGTTAGCTGTTGGCTGGCTGCTTTTTTAGGGTAAAATTAAACGCCCGCCACGGAGTGAGGTAGCAGACACCCCGGGAGCTGGGAGACAGACACTGTCAGGTACCACAGAACAAGGAAGGAGTCGTCTGTTTCTATTTTCTTGGAATTGGAGGTTTCTTTGCTCTGTCGAGAACCAGGGGAAAAGACGTCATTACAGAAAGATAACTGTCTAATTTGTGAAAATCAAGTTCAGAAAAGGTCTGTGAAATCACTGAGTCTCGCTGTCTTTCTTCCTTGATTGAAGAGAAAGCCTCCTGGCTGCCCAAAACTGGAATGTTTTGCTAAGACCACCGAGCGGGTCGGAAGGCAGGAGACCGGATGTTCAAGTGTCTCAGCGACAATGTCATGGAAGCAACACGTCCTCTGCCAAGACACGGCCCCTCGGAGCATGGCGCAGTCCTGACTTTGAGAACAGACTGTCACAGCCAGCAGTCATGGGCAAGGCACTAGAGGACAGTATTACTCATTTCTAGGCAGTCAGTGATTGTGCGAGCTAAAATGAGAGGCCTTTCAGTAGCTACCTTCCACTGAGGGCCTACTACGTGCCAAATTCTCTGCTGAGTGGCCTAAGCACATGAACCCTCCCGTTCTTAAACACGTTTTTATTGATTTTTAGAGAAAGTGGGAGGGAGAGGAAGAGAAACATCAATGAGAGAGAAACATCATCGATCAGCTGCCTCCCGCTCGCCCCCTACAGGGGATCGAGCCTGCAACCCAGGCATGTGCCAGGAATCGAACCGTGACCTTTTAGTTCATCGGTCGATGCTCCACCGCTGAGCCACGCTGGCTGGGCAACTCTAACTCCTTAAGAGCCCTGCAGGGAAGTCCTGTTTTCACAAACAAGGCTCAGAGTAGTCAGGTGACTGGCCCGGAAACAGCACACCCAGGACATGAACACGAAGCCATATGGCCATACAGCCTGCGCTCTTGCCATTTATGCAAATTACTCAGAATAGCGTTCGTTCACCCATCCAATCATTCACTCACCAGCCCTAGAGGGGTGTCTGCCCCGTGAGAGAGGATGGCAGAAGACTCGGTACCACCCCGAGGGGCTGAGTCTACTCAAAGACACAGGCCCAGAGACAGCAAAGATAAATGGTGGTCGTGACAGGGAAGGGCAGGCTACACGAGGACAGAGAGCAGCCAGCATGGCGTGTGCCTGAGGGACAGGGCCTGGGTAGGAAGGGACCGCACCTTTCAGGAAAGCAGGGTCGGGCTCTGACCAGATTGAAAATGGACACATAATGGAGAAACATCAGGTCACTGAAACCTCATTTTTTAAGACGCCAATGGAAGTGGCGATCCTCTGAGGTAGGCAAATCCAGGGGCACAAAGCGAGACTGGTTATCCCGATCACGGAGGAGGAAGAGGACCGCCACGCGGGGCAGATGCCGCCCACATTAGCGGAATGACAAAGGAATGACGCACACAATTCCGTGCCAACTGATTCACCTGCTTAGATAAGTGGACGCGCTACCAAACGGGGCACGAGGAGACAGACCCAGGGGAGTCTCCCGGCGACTGAACCGCGGATGCACCGTAGAACGGCCTCCTCAAA